CACACACACACACACACACACACACTCACACACAGACACACACACACACACACGAACGCTTCTGTACATACATGCGATGATGTTTCCATAACGGTTCTTCATTCTGTTCTCATCTTTTTTGGCCGAGTCCCACGGCGCCGCCTGTCCTTCAAAGAAGCTCTAAAAGACAACAACAAAAACACGGTTAGCAGAACAAACATGAGCGACAAACAGCAGGTCAAAGGTCAGGACAACACATGAGAATGTAGTCGGACATAAACAGCCAGAGAAAAGAGGAAAATGAACTTTATGATCATGAAACTGAACGTGCAGCATCTCCATTACCACAGAAAATCATTTCAAATTACTCTAGAGTTTGACATGAGCATGTTTACTCTAATAAGCATACAATACACAGCACAAGCAAACATATTACTATTGTTCAATTATTATTATACATTTAACTGAATATTTAAATTATTTATTATATTAAAATCAATTAACATATTAATTTTATATTATAAAAATTATGTTACAAATTACTGTTAATATTAAACATTTAATTGAATACTCCATTTAATATTAAAAGTAATAAAAATATTAATAGTACATTTTTAAAGTGGTAAATTATTATTAAACATTTCATTAAATACATATTTCAAATTAAAATCAAACAAAAATACTGATATTATATTATTAAAATTGTTAAATTATTAATAGACATTTAATTTAATTTTTATTTAAATTATATAATATTAAAATCCAACAAAACATTCATAGTTTATTATTAAAATGGTTAAATTATCATTAACCATTTAAGTGAACATTTATTTAAATAATTTAAAATTTAAACAAAACAAAAAATATTAATAGCGCATTAATACAATTCTTAAACTATTTTGAACATTTAATTGAAAATGTATTTAAATTACTTAACATTAATATCAAACAAAAATATTAATAGTATATTATTAAAACGATTAAATTATCATGAAACATTGAATTGAATGTTTAAATTATTTAATATTAACATCAAATAAAAATATAATTAGCATATTATTAACATTGAATTTTATATTTTAATATTAAAATCAAACAAAAATGTTAATAGCCTATTAATAAAATAAAATAAAAAATTAATATTAAAATTTTATCAAAATATTTAACATTACATTTTATTGTAACATTATTGCAATTTTCTACAATCTATAATATTTACACATACTTCTAACACATAATAAATTAAAACACACAGCCCATTTTTAACATTCTCAACATTTCTCTTGCCTCATCTGCCATCTTGCATATTTTTTTTACTTGTTGCAATGCATTCTGGGATTATCTTATGCACAAAGAATTCATGCAATGTTAAGCTAAAATAAAAAGAAAGCATCTTATAAAGTGGCATAATCACACCTACAGTATAATGCCTTAAAGTGCTGCCTACATAGGTACACACTCACAACATAGCAAGCAATGTTTATTGCATTGCATCCACTTCCAGTATTTTTAATCTGAGGGTTTAGTTAATATTATTTTCTGAGGCAAGCGCTGACCGCAGGAGCTCGATCACGGCGTGAGATTTACATCGAACCACATGAAAGCACAAGAGAGACAGACAGAAAGAGAAAGGCAGCCGACGTTTGTGCCTCCTCAACAGAAACTCATCAAACATTAATGCTCCGCTCGCCGTGCAATTACAGCTAATTATGAAAATGCACTTCAGCGCTGGCTTCTGAGGGCCGTGGGGCTGGTCTCTGCCGTTTCTCTGTGTAAGTGTGGAGGTGAGACAGAAATAGAGCTTGATATTCCTCGTCTAGAGACAAGAGATATGATTGCGGTGATTGTGCTAAACACAATGATGACACCAGCTTCATCTGCGGGAGACACGGCTGATCATCGGCTCTTTCTGCTTAATGACGGCTTGATATTCACTGACGTAAAGACCACCGGAACGCAGCTTTCTGACGAGCATCTCGGAGTGAAGCGCTTCTGTTAGGAGGCTCTGTGATTGAGGTTAGAAGGAAAGTGTTGTGGTTTCTCCAGGCATGAATCACAGCAGAAGGAGAGACGAGTCAGATTTAACCTGCAACGCTCTTTCATTTCCAGCACGGTAACCTTTAGAAGACTTACAGAAACAGAAAAACTACTTTGAGAGAAAAGTCTTTCATTCTGAAACTCAACACGTCTGTGTGCAGTAAATAAATAGAAACACATCTTATCTTCAAATGCACTAGTGTTAAAATGTTTCTGAAAGAGTCTCTTCTGCTCAGCAAGGCTGCATTTATTTGATCAAAAATACTGTAAAAATAGTGAAATATTATTCTAATCTAAAACAGCTGTTTTCTATGTGAATATCTATTAAACTGTAATGTATTTCTGTGATCAAAGCTGTATTTTCAGCATCATTACGCCAGTCTTCAGTGTCACATGATCTTCAGAAATCATTCTAATATGCTGATTTGCTGCTCAAGAAACATTTCTGATTATTATCAATGTTGAAAACAGTCGTGCTGCACAATATTTTTGTGGAAACCGTGATGCATTTTGTTTTTCAGGATTCACAGATGAATAGAAATTTGACATTTGAAACATTATAAATGTCTTTACTGACACTTTTGATCAATTTAATGTGTCATTAATGAATAAAAGTATTGATTTCTTTGATTAAATGTATATGTGAATATATATATACTGTGTATATATATATATATATATATATATATACAAAATAAAATGTATTAATAGAAATACTAAAAACAACAAACACAACAAAATTACTAAAACTGTAACTAATATTATAATGAAAATAGAAAACATAAAAATAAAAACCAAATCAAAACATTTTTAAACACTCAATTGAATACTTATTAAAAATAATAAACACACAGCGTCTCCGACATGCTGCTTCAACACTAACTGCGGTTACTGAAACCACGCCTTCTTTCTTTGCGTGCACATTTGGGCAGCATTATGCTAATATTTCCACATAGTGAGGTAGATATGCGGGGGCGTGTTAGAAAGAGCCATTTTAGGGGGGCGTGGCAGAGTCTTAACTTTGATAAAGAATATCTCTTGGGTTTGAGACTTTAGTCTTTGCAACTTCAGGGATCTTATCTATTCACGAACAGCTTGTAACACTCCAGAGAGAAAGAAAAACTTGAAATCGCATCATATGACCCCTTTAAATATTCAAGACGGTCACACACAGACGCCTCAGAGAGTATTTACACAGCTAAGACGTGTTATGAAGCGTAGATTCTGTCAAACAAACACTGACGGCGCTTCTCTGTGCTTTTACTGGTGTATAAAAACAAGACACGCAGAAAAACAGGCTCAACTTACTGGAATAATTCACCCAGAAATGTAAACTCCATCATAATTCAAACCAATAAGACTTTGGTCAATCTTTAAAACACAAATTAAGATATTTGTAATGCCCTGAGAGGTTTAGATCATCGTTTAGATGTAAATAAAAGGCTAAATAAAATCTGTTCATCATATAAAATGATTGTATCTATGAATTAAACCGCTCCATTCACATGGATTCGTTTTGTGACACATTTATGATCTTTTTGGATCTTTTAGGTTTTGGTTCCCTTTCAATGGAGGAACAGAAAGCTCTCAGGCTTCATTAAAAATATCTTCATTTGTGATTAACCAAAGTGTTAATGGTTCAGAACGACATTAAGGTAAGTCAGGGTTATTATCTTTAACTAAAACTATATATATCTAAAAAATAATAATAATAAAAATAAAAACTGAAATAAATTAAATATAAAAAACATTTTTAAATAAAATTAAATACAAATAAAATAAACAAAATAAACATTAACAGAAATAAATTGAATATAAAAAAAACTTAAACTTATTTTAAAAAATAATTTTAATAATACAAATACAATGAACATAAATATTAACCGAAATAAATTAAATACAAAAATGGTTTATCTTATTTTTGTTATTTTTATTAACTAAAATAAATTAAATATTTAATAAAAAAACGTATTTTATTTTATTTTTATTGGCTAGTTGCCAAACCAACATTTCTCATTTTCATGTAGTTCAAGTTGAAGTACTAAAATAACTAAATAAACTAAAACTAAAAACTACACTTGATAAAAACTATATAGACAAAAAAATAAAAAATACTAATAAAAAGGGCAAAAAAAAAATTTGTTTTTTACATTTATTCTAGCTCATTTCAAAGGGCAGCATTTCTCATTTTCATTTAATTTAACTTGAATCAATAAAACATCTAAAACTAATAACTAAAACTATTTATATTTAAAATTTATTTGAAACACTTAAAAAAGATAGTAAATATAGAGATAATAAAAACATAAAATTACATACATTTCAACAAAAATTAAAATGAAAACAGAAAATATAAAAACAAAACCCAATTCAAAATATTACCAACAACTTTAACAGTTTTTCAGTGACATTAAAACAACACTGGGGCGAGTACATGACGACAGTACTTTTAATTTCGGGTGAACTGTCCCTTTAAGAGTTGCTGAAGTGAAACAGGAGAGAATAATGATTTTCAGACTTTGCTTGATGGGAAAATAATCTTTTGAAATATAAAAATGTGGTGCTGAATAAATAAGCTTCACAGCAGACTGGAATGGAGCGGATGGAGAAATGGCTGGCAGGAAGCTCCAGGCTGTTTCTGTCCCTCTAGGCCACTCGCTGTGATTGGCTGAGCCTCAAATCCGCAGCCAATCAGACACATGACCGGAATCATGAGCCCAAACTGTGGCGATGCTAAAAACCAGATCTGGATTCGTCCAGAATGAGAGGAGCGACTCGAACGATAACATTAACTTGCGTTTCGTCTCAGTGGCACTGAGGATAAAAGCAGGAGGTGAAATCAAATCTAATAAACAGAGTCATGAAATGAAATTGATGCTGAATAACACGCGCTCTCTGAAAGATGTCAAAACAAGCATGAATAAAACAAGCATCAACCCAACTTAATAATGCATGTTGTAAAATGCAGTTGTCAATTCCCTGCTGCTCTTTATTGTTATGCATCCCAGCATGCTCCAGGTATTTGTGGATGCATTACCTCCCCCTCTGTGACGTCTGACAGCGACTAGTAAAGCTTTACAGTTTGCTCCAGAAGCTTCTAATGGGTTTTATCCACAAATAAACTTCCTCAGACAGTTTTTAATGCGATTTGAGCGTCAGGTGTTCAAATGTTGGATTCTGACACTATAAATATACATTAATAAAAGATGCTCAGACTGCAGAGTTCATAGAAACTGACCCTTTGCTAAGCTCCGCCCCTCACGGTTACTGTTGCTAATGCTGAATATTATTCTTACATGGGCTGGAATGAAATATGACACTGTTTCTATTTAAAGAAATAGTTAAATTGTGTCGTAACATGATTTAAAAACCAAAGAATTTGTGAAATCTGTTTTAATTTTAATTTTAGAAGTTTAGAATTTTTATTGTTTTTTTTACTGTGTAATAATGAAACAAAATAACAATAATAATATGACATGGTTTCTCTGAAGAAATAGTTAAATTTTAGTGTACCATGATTTAAAACTGAAAAAATTGTGAATCAGAATCAGGTTTAAATTAGTTTTAATTTTTTGATGCTGTTTTCATTTTAGTTTTTGTTAAAGTTTTAGTAATTTGGTTGTTTTTTGTTATTTATTACGTTTTATATTTATTTATTTCATATTATAGAAGACCATTTCCACCCTGGAATAAAAATAAAAAGGTAATAGTGCCTTTTTATCTCACAATTCAGACATTTTTCTGCCATGGAATTAAAAATAAAAAAATTAAAATCTCACAATTTTGATTTTTTATATCTCAATTCTGACTTTTCAACTCAAAAGAAAAGTTTATATCTTGCAATTCTGAGTTTATATCTCTGATAATAATACATTTTAATAAATATCTAAAATATTATTAAATCAAGAATAAATACAAATTCTAATTTAGAAATTCGAAAAAATTCGAAATTAATAAAAAAAAAATTCTAATAAATTCAGAATGCTAATTCTGAAAAAAGTGAATTGCAAGACAAAAAGTCAAAATGACCCTTTTTATTTCTTTAATCTGTTTTTATATTTTAGTTTTAGTTACTTTAATTCATCAAGTTAAACTAAATGAAAATGAGAAATGTTGTCTTGACAACTAGCTGAAATAGAACATATATTTTTAAATTTCATATAAATTTTATTTGAAGTAAAAAAAAAAATCTTATGGCTTTGCTTTTATTTTTTTTTGTAATAACTCTGATCAAACACTTTTTTACAGTGAAAATGATACATGAATGACCCAAGATTATTTAAAGATGAAAATAAAAATAAAAACATCTCTGCGTATTACAAGCAACCCGGCAACTATACTTTTGGAAAACTTTCAATGCAATTTTACGCAAACTGTCTGATAATATGGCGGGGGGCAACCGTTGCTAAGGTAAGACTGGTGAAACTACAGGAGCTTCAAGACAAACTACAGGACAATCGGGAGCTAACGAGTCATATTAGCAACTAACAAGCAACTAAAACATCTTACATATATCCAAAAAGGGCTGCTTACCTCATTTATCTTTTCCAAAGTTAATGTACGGAATAACAAGAAGCAAAAGAAAGATAAGGGAATATTTTAGTGTAGGTCATCTCAAACCACTATTCAACATGGAGGAGAAAACACAGTCAAGACAAGCAACTTTCACTTGGAGGAAGGGACGAGGGAGTGAGTGCTGAACTCCACTTCTACCTGAACTCTAAAAACAATCTTTATCCATAATGAATCGAGCCCTCGGGCGGCTCGCAACCCAACGGGTGTCTGGGCTGAAATATTCATTTCACTGAGATGTGAAGGATAAAGCTGTGAGGTTATGGTGAGAGGATGCACAAACAGAGCTGCCCACGTCTCGCAGTCGCTTTAGACGTTAACAAACAGCTCGCGCAAGTCTGTGTGTGTCTGTGTGTGTGTGTGTGTTTGTGTGTGTGTGTGTGTGTGTGTGTGTGTGTGTGTGTGTGTGCGAACAATTTTGATTTTTTATATCTCAATTCTGACTTTTCAACTCAAAAGAAAAGTTTATATCTTGCAATTCTGAGTTTATATCTCTGATAATAATACATTTTAATAAATATCTAAAATATTATTAAATCAAGAATAAATACAAATTCTAATTTAGAAATTCGAAAAAATTCGAAATTAATAAAAAAAAAATTCTAATAAATTCAGAATGCTAATTCTGAAAAAAGTGAATTGCAAGACAAAAAGTCAAAATGACCCTTTTTATTTCTTTAATCTGTTTTTATATTTTAGTTTTAGTTACTTTAATTCATCAAGTTAAACTAAATGAAAATGAGAAATATTGCTTTGGCAACTCGCTGAACTAAAATAAGTTTTTAGGGTTTTTAACATTTGATTTCAAATAAAGTTTATTTTATTTCAGTAATTATCTTCTCATGGTTTTAGTTTTATTTTTTTCTATAATAACTCTGATCAAACACTTTGTTTTTTACAGTGAAAAATACCCATCTCTGTGTATTACAAGCGACCCAGCAACTACGTTTTTTGAACATTTTAAATGCAATTTTATGCAAATCAAAAGACTTGCATTAGAAAAAGGACAACATCCTGTCTGATAATATGCGTGCGGCAACAGTTGCTAAGGAAGGACTGGTGAAACTACAGGAGCTTCAAGACAAACTACAGGACAATCGGGAGCTAACGAGTCATATTAGCAACTAACAAGCAACTAAAACATCTTACATATATCCAAAAAGGGCTGCTTACCTCATTTATCTTTTCCAAAGTTAATGTACGGAATAACAAGAAGCAAAAGAAAGATAAGGGAATATTTTAGTGTAGGTCATCTCAAACCACTATTCAACATGGAGGAGAAAACACAGTCAAGACAAGCAACTTTCACTTGGAGGAAGGGACGAGGGAGTGAGTGCTGAACTCCACTTCTACCTGAACTCTAAAAACAATCTTTATCCATAATGAATCGAGCCCTCGGGCGGCTCGCAACCCAACGGGTGTCTGGGCTGAAATATTCATTTCACTGAGATGTGAAGGATAAAGCTGTGAGGTTATGGTGAGAGGATGCACAAACAGAGCTGCCCACGTCTCGCAGTCGCTTTAGACGTTAACAAACAGCTCGCGCAAGTCTGTGTGTGTCTGTGTGTGTGTGTGTGTGTGTGTGTGTGTGTGTGTGTGTGTGTGTGAGCGAGTGAGTGTGTGTGTGTGTGTGTGTGTGAGCGAGTGTGTCTGTGTGTGTGAGCGAGTGTGTGTGTGTGTGAGAGTGAGTGTGTGTGAGTGTGCGTGTGAATGTGTGCGTGTGCATGTGTGAGTGTGTGTGTGTGTGTGTAGATAATGCACATCACATCGTGGAGAAAACGGAGAGATAAACCTTGTGCGCTCAACGGGATTCAACAGAACTGGAGCGGTTTGGTGATGACATGAGCTCATGGAGATAACACTGCAAAAAATGCTCTTTCTCAGTATTTCTGTCTTGTTTTCCAGTACAAATATCTAAACATTCTTAAATCTTTAGGATATATTTACTTCAGAAACAAAATTACTTATAGTAAGACTTGTTTTTCCATAAAAATGATCACATTTAAGTGAGTTTATGGTAAAAAAATATTTGCCAATGGGGTAAATTAAAACAATAAATAAATAAATCATTTTTAAAATTAAATCTCGCTTCACATTTTTCAGAAAATGAGTGAGTATTTTAAGTAAATGTATCTTGATTTAAGAATATTTAGATATTTGTACTGGAGAACAAGACAAAATACTTAAGTATTCTTAAATCAAGATACATTTACTTATGCAAAATGACCTAAGATATTAAGTCTTTAGTTTATTCTTAAAATAAGTTATTTTGCATCTCAAGCAAATAGATCTTGATTTAAGAATATTTAGATATTTGTATTGGAAAACAAGAGTATATTAAGTCTTGCTTTCTGAAAACTATGTGAGTTCTTGCTTAAAACAAGAAAAATATCTGCTAATGGGGTCCAAAAAATAATCATGTTTTCCCTTTGAAGTTTATTTCTCTGTTCCCCTTGATACAATTGTTTTTTCTTGTTTTAAGCATAAACTCGTTAAGGGACTTAATATCGTAAGTCACTTTGCTACTAAGTTAATGTTGTTACATAATTGCACTGGAAAACAAGACAAAAATACTGAGCCAAATAGTTTTTGCAGTGAATATCAATAGAATAGTTCAGCCAAAAATTAATAAGTTGTCATTTCAAACCTGTATGACTTTCAAAAAGAGATGTTGAACAAAATGTCTCTGAAAAAAAAAGTCAAATTTTTTGCATAGTAAATTGAAGCTTGCACATTCTGCTAAACATCTCCTTTCGTGTTTCACGGAAGACACAAGTCAAGATTGGAACGACATTGGGGTGAGTGTGTTTTTGCCTGTGGTGATTATATTCAATTACCACCGTTAAAAATAATATGCAAACTGCATGCAGCGACATACAAACGTGTGACGAAACAAATGATGTTGAGAGTAAACTAAAGAGAAATTAAGCAAAAGGATGCACCTCGTATTCCTCTTTGAAGCCGTAACCCTCGGCGCACTTCATCTGCGTGATGTGCTGGAGAAGATCGGCCACACGGATGGCCGGATGAAGCTGTCCCGTCTGATATGGGACATCCACCGCCTCGCGTTTCTTGTAGGAGTGAGTGTGTGACTGAACCAAGCTGCTGGTCTCGCTGTTCATGGTGTGGTTCTCGTCTGACGGGAAAAACGCAAGGGACAAACGGTCAGCAAACGCAGAAGAAAACTGCAAAGGATTGGATGAGCAGTAGGTTGACGACTACATGAAGAGATGAGCACAGAACAACAGGTGAGTCGAATCCAAACATGTGCATAAACAGAACGCCGGTAACATCAAAACAAAACCAAGCCGTCTGTTCTAGCTAAATAAACTGGCTATCCGATGTCAAAATGAGGTCGCACGAATGGTGAAATGGTGATGTCTGGATGTGGCACCTTCACGACAGGGTTGGGAACCAAAAGAAAGCACATTTGAGGATGCAGGTGAGTGGAGGGTGTCACATTTACAGCGGTGGCCAAAATAATTAGAACGCTAGTATTTTCAGCAGCTAAAAATGGGTTTAAAGTCAGTTATTTCTATCTTTTGCTGTAGTGTGTCGGTAGGAAATATCAGTTTACATTTGCAAACATTCATTTAGCCATTAATTGTAATAATGCATTGAGATTTTTGTGCTCGTGTGTGTGAGCGAGTGTGTGTGTGTGTGTGTGTGTGTGTGAGCGAGTGTGTCTGTGTGTGTGAGCGAGTGTGTGTGTGTGTGAGAGTGAGTGTGTGTGAGTGTGCGTGTGAATGTGTGCGTGTGCATGTGTGAGTGTGTGTGTGTGTGTGTAGATAATGCACATCACATCGTGGAGAAAACGGAGAGATAAACCTTGTGCGCTCAACGGGATTCAACAGAACTGGAGCGGTTTGGTGATGACATGAGCTCATGGAGATAACACTGCAAAAAATGCTCTTTCTCAGTATTTCTGTCTTGTTTTCCAGTACAAATATCTAAACATTCTTAAATCTTTAGGATATATTTACTTCAGAAACAAAATTACTTATAGTAAGACTTGTTTTTCCATAAAAATGATCACATTTAAGTGAGTTTATGGTAAAAAAATATTTGCCAATGGGGTAAATTAAAACAATAAATAAATAAATCATTTTTAAAATTAAATCTCGCTTCACATTTTTCAGAAAATGAGTGAGTATTTTAAGTAAATGTATCTTGATTTAAGAATATTTAGATATTTGTACTGGAGAACAAGACAAAATACTTAAGTATTCTTAAATCAAGATACATTTACTTATGCAAAATGACCTAAGATATTAAGTCTTTAGTTTATTCTTAAAATAAGTTATTTTGCATCTCAAGCAAATAGATCTTGATTTAAGAATATTTAGATATTTGTATTGGAAAACAAGAGTATATTAAGTCTTGCTTTCTGAAAACTATGTGAGTTCTTGCTTAAAACAAGAAAAATATCTGCTAATGGGGTCAAAAATAGTAATCATGTTTTTCCTCTGAAGTTTATTTTTCTGTTCCCACTGACAGAAATGTTTTCTTGTTTTAAGCATAAACTCATTTAATTTTCAGAAAGCGGGACTTAATATCGTAAGTCATTTTGCTTCGTAATTAAATGTTTTGATTGTGCTGGAAAACAAGACAAACATACAGAGTAAGAAACTTTTTGCAGTGAATACTAATAGAATAGTTCTGCTAAAAATGAATAATTTACTCACTCTCATGTCATTTCAAACCAGTACGACTTTCAAAGAGAGACATTGGACAAAATGTCAAAATTTCTACATCAAGAGAAATTGTTGTACAGAAAACTGAAGCTAAACATTTCCTTTTGTGATTCACAAAAGACAAAGTCAAGTTTGGAACGACACTGGGGTGAGTGTGTTTTTACCTGTGGTGATTTATTCAGTTACCATCCTTAAAAAGTAAGATGCAAACAGCATGCAGTGACATACAAACGTGTGACAAAACAAATGATGTCCAGAGTAAACTAAAGTAAAAGGACGCACCTCGTATTCCTCTTTGAAGCCGTAACCCTCGGCGCACTTCATCTGCGTGATGTGCTGGAGAAGATCGGCCACACGGATGGCCGGATGAAGCTGTCCCGTCTGATATGGGACATCCACCGCCTCGCGTTTCTTGTAGTGTGACTGAAGTGACTGAACCAAGCTGCTGGTCTCGCTGTTCATGGTGTGGTTCTCGTCTGACGGGAAAAACAAACGGTCCAAACGGTCAGCAAACGCAGAAGAAAACTGCAAAGGATTGGATGAGCAGTAGGTTGACGACTACATGAAGAGATGAGCACAGAACAACAGGTGAGTCGAATCCAAACATGTGCATAAACAGAACGCCGGTAACATCAAAACAAAACCAAGCCGTCTGTTCTAGCTAAATAAACTGGCTATCCGATGTCAAAATGAGGTCGCACGAATGGTGAAATGGTGATGTCTGGATGTGGCACCTTCACGACAGGGTTGGGAACAAGCACATAGCACATTTGAGGATGCAGGTGAGTGGAGGGTGTCACATTTACAGCGGTGGCCAAAATAAGCTAGTATTTAGTATTTTCAGCAGCTAAAAATGGGTTTAAAGTCAGTTATTTCTATCTTTTGCTGTAGTGTGTCGGTAGGAAATATCAGTTTACATTTGCAAACATTCATTATGCCATGTATGTGTTTCTGTATATAAGAGATAGGAAGGGGAAGAAAAAATACCTGCGTCAAATCCCATATGGTGCAAATGATACCTAGTTTCAGACCGCTGAATTTTGTTAAGTTTTAGGCACTTGTGTAAAAATTCTGTAAAATGAGGATGCTGTCAAACATAATGTCATAAATAGATTTTCTTGATCAATTAACTATATAAAATCAAGCATTGGTGCAAGCATCTTTTGCGTTTAGAGCAGCTTTTGCCCTCGGTGCACTTGAGCAGAGTTTCTCAGGAGCTTTGCAGGAGGTTTCTTGAAGCATCAGTTCTTCTGGATCGAGTCTGTCTCAGTTTGTTCTGTTTCTTCATGTCCCTCCAGACAGACTGCTGATGATCAGATCTGGGCTCGTATTCACAAAATTTAACAGCACTGTAGCTTTGCAGGAGGTTTCTTGAAGCGTCAGTTCTTCTGGATCGAGTCTGTCTCAGTTCTGTTTCTTCATGTGACTCCAGACAGACTGATGATGATCAGATCTCTGTGTGGAGCACAAAACTCTCACTGCATTATTACAATTAATGGCAAAATGAATGTTTGGAAATGTAAACTGATATTTCCTACCGACACACTACAGCAAAAGATAGAAATAACTAACCATTTTTAGCTGCTGGAGATACTAGTGTTCTAATCATTAGCTGCCACTGTACTGTATGTATGAAGAGGGTGGCAATGCTAGCTAATGGTAGGCGAAATGCGACACAAGGCCATGCGAGAGAGGCGACACGGTTTGAGGGGAGAGGGGGGAGCGGATCCCACTGACAGTCACCCCCAAAAAACACAGGGCCGATTGGCAACTTACCATTAATGGGCACTTTTTAAGAGGATACATAACAGGTTAAATGTGAAGAAAGAAAACAGGAAGAGAGAGGAAAAAGGGTGTAAGCAACAAGATAGTTGAAGCAAGAGCAGCTACACATGAAGTCCAGAGACTATCTGAGGTTCTGACTGACTTGCGCTGAACCGTCTGAGGTGTCAAAATGAAGGAATGAGACGAGGCCGAATCTGAACCTGCTCAACGCTCGGGTTCCCCAAGTAAAAATCCCATTCAGGCCCTCCACCGTTAACGGATAAAACTTTCTAAACAGACCTATACAAGCTCGGAAGTTACGTGATTCAAGCCGGCATTTCAAAGTTTATCATGGATCAAGTGATGAAATTTGTTTCAGTTCTGCAAATCGAAATGACATTGATCTTGCAACATTGTTTCAATGTTGCACTTTTCCTACAGATCTTGTTAAAATGTACTTGTTAAAAAAACCTGTTTTAATCACAGTTCAATGTTTATTCAATGTCATGGATCAAGGCTGATTAAGTGATCTTGCTGAACTCTAACATTTTTGCATTAAATGCCGATGTTTTTCAAGATTGATATAACAACTGACTTTATTTCAACCACATTTCAATGTTTATTCAATGTCATGGATCAAGGCTGATTAAGTGTTGAATTTTGTTTCAATTTCGCAAATCAAATCAACAGTTTCCTTGCAACGCTGTTTGAAAGTTTAACTTCTATATATGTATATAGATCTTGTTAAAATTTTAATTCTGTATTTTAAGTACTTTGGTAATGCTTTTGCATTAAACATAATTGTTTTTCAATGTTGAAACAACAACATATATTATTTCAACGCTTGTTCATGGGTGAATTGAATCAGTGTTGAATTTTGTATCAATTTTGCAAATCGAATTGACACTGATCTTGCTGAACTCTAACATTTTTGCATTAAATGCCAAAGTTTTGCAAGATTGATATAACAACTGACTTTATTTCAACCACATTTCAATGTTTATTCAACGTCATTGAACAAGGTTGATTCAGTGTTGAATTTTGTTTCAATTTTGCCAATCAAATCAACAATGACCTCGCAACGTTGTTTCAACGTCTTACTTTTCTTACAGATCTTGCTAAAATTTCAAAGTTGAACTCTGTTTTTCAACATTGAAACAACACTGACATTATTTCAACTCTGACATTATTTATTCAATGTCATTGATCACGGTTGATTTCCTACAGATCTTTTTAAAATTTCAATGTTGAGTTGTAAGCATTTTGTTCGTATTTTCACAACCATTTATATCTAAACATTTTTTTTAACATTGAAACAACTTACATTATTTCAACGCTTATTCAAGGGTGATTCAACATCAGGAATCAAGGTTGAATCAGTGTTGAATTTTGTATCAATTTCGCAAATTGAATTAATGTTGATACTGCAACGTTGTTTCAATGTCTTACTTTCTTGTTAAAATTTCACTGTTGATTTCTAAGTATTTTGTTAAACTTTATAGAACTATTCAGAACTAAACGTTGCCAGCGTTGACATTATTAATTGACATTATTTCAACTACATTTCAACATTTAGGCTATTCACAGGTAAAGATCAAGGTTGAATTGTTTCAATTTTGTTTCAATTTAATTTCAGTGTTGATTTTGTTTACCTTTTTACAACCATTTAGCCCTCATTTTTATTTTTTAACGTTGAAACAACAACTTACATTATTTCAACCGCATTTCAAAATGTATTCACGGGAATCAAGGATGAATTGTTGTAGAATTTTGTTCAGTTTTGCAAATCAAATCAGTGTTGATACATTGTTTCAACATTTTACTTTTTGTACAAAACTTCTTAAAATTTAAATATTGATTAAGACTTGTGTTCATATTTTTAAGCATTAAACACTAAACTTTTTTCCACCGTTCAACGTTTATTTACAAGCAAATCAATTTCACGGATGTAGAAGATATTAGTTTTACAATCAAATCAACATTGATATTGCAACATTATTTCAACCTCTTCTCGCACAGATCTCAATAAAATATTGCATTTTGTACGTTTTCACAACCATTTATCACTAAATATTTTTCCAATGTTGAAACAACACATTTCAACGTTTATTCCCAGTTGAAGCAATGTCATGGATCAAGGTTGAATCATAGTGAAATTTTGTTTTGATTTTGCTAATCGAATCAACATAGGTATCACAACAGTATTTCAACCTTTTTCTTTTCCTACAGATCTTGTTAAAAAAGAATTTTGTTCACCATTTCAGAACCATTTAGCACTAAACTACATAAATTTCAACACTGAAGATCTGAGATCTGCTTCTGTAGATGCCTAAAACCTGCAGTTTAAAAAAAATCATGACGTAAATAGCGATTCTGAAGCAGTGAATGAACGCAGTATAACTAGATAGCTAGTTACCTACCCAAAGTCATTATTTTGGTCATCATTTACTTGCAATCAAGTCATTCCAAACCTGCATGACTTACTTATTTGTGTGGAACACAATACAATGAAAGTCAATGGGGTCCAAAGTTGTTTGGTTCCCAACGTTCTTCAAAATATCTTGTGTTCCACAGAAGAAAGAAATGAGCAAATGATGACAGAATTATATTTTTTTGGGGTGAACTAATCCCGTTAAGACAACAGAAGATTAATTCTTTCGTTAGTACGCATTCTTGTGTCTTTCGAATGAATGAATGGGAAAAATACTTCTTGAACCCAAGATATCATTTAATATAGTGATTTGGAGCTGTATGGGTATTTCTCTAAAAACTGGCATGTGCACAATTTATTTTATAATGACAAAGTGTGTTTAAACGCTATCGTGAGCATAAAGAGCGCGTCTGAAGACACTGATGGAAATGACCATGGGTCGCTTTATATAGTAAAAAAAATAGTAAAAATTGTGAAATATTATTCTAATTTAAAACAGCTGTTTTCTATGTGAATATCTGTTAAACTGTAATTTATTTCTGAGTTCAAAGCTGAATTTTCAGCATCATTACTCCAGTCTTCAGTGTCACATGATCTTCAGAAATCATTCTAATATGCTGATTTGCTGCTCAAGAAACATTTCTGATTATTATCAATGTTGAAAACAGTTGTGCTGCACAATATTTTTGTGGAAACTGTGATACATTTTATTTTTCAGGATTCACAGATGAATAGAAAGTTCAAAAGAACAGCATTTACTTAAAATATAAATCTTTTGTAACACTATAAATGCCTTTAATGTCACTTTTGATCGATTTAATGCATCCTTGATGAATAAAAATATTTTCTGTTTTTATAGTAATTTTAGTTAACGTTTTAGTAATTTTGTTGTGTGATTTTGTAATTTTTATTTGCTTTATTATTCACTTGCATTTCAGTTTTCAAGTTAAATTAATAGGAGAAATGTCGCGACTAGCTAAAATAAAATTATATTATTTAAAAAACAATTATTTTAGTATACTTCAGTTGATTTTATTTTGAATAACACTTTAAGGATTTTTATGATAACTGAAATAAAATATATTTTTTTAATATTTTATTTTAGTAAATGTAATATATTTCAGGTACATTTTCAGAATTATATTTTTTGGGGTGAACTAACCCCGTTACAGAAGACAACAGAAGATGAATTCCCTCGTTACTGTGTCTTTCAAATCAATGAATGGGAAAAATACTTCCTGAACCCAAGATATCATTTAATATAGTGATTTGGAGCTGTATTTAGTTCATAGTTTAGCATTAAAATGGGTATTTCTCTAAAAACTGGCATGTGCACAATTTATTTTATAATGACAAAATGTGTTTAAACGCTATCGTGAGCATAAAGAGCGCGTCTGAAGACACTGATGGAAATGACCATGGGTCGCTTTTTTCGTTCGTGCCACACTGTCACTCCCCCCTCATCCGGTCCACATTATCTGTCCATGCACATGAGAGGTCATAGACATACGTGACGTCACACGCACGACACGGAATGCGGATGGGATGGGGTGAAGCCTCGGCTCGGGGAGGAATAAACCCTCAAGTCTCACACAGAAGAGAAAAGCAGGCAGGTATGAATGTGAGGAAGCGTCAGATCTACTTCCTGTCTGTCTCTCGTCAACACAAACAAGCTATTCTCAGGACACCGTCATGTGTGGAACAGAAACAGAGGTTTTCTCACCTAAGATTGCGGTCGGCACGAAGGGATCTGCTCACGGCCGAGAGACATGCAGAGGTTTACAGAGAAGAGAAAAGCGGGTCAGTACACACTGATCCAGATCAAGTCAGTACTGCATTAGTCAGGAAGGTTAAACAGGTGAACATACAGACTTAACTGGTTACGCATGAAATGGTTTGACATAGTTAATTAGCTGGGTACCTTGCCCATAGAAATAATGTTTTTTTTATGTGCATTTATTTAATCAAAAATATAGTAAAAATTGTGAAATATTATTCTAATTTAAAACAGCTGTTTTCTATGTGAATATGTGTTAAACTGTAATGTATTTCTGTGATGTGCAGCTGTATTTTCAGCATCATTACTCCAGTCTTCAGTGTCACATGATCTTCAGAAATCATTCTAATATGCTGATTTGCTGCTCAAGAAACATTTCTGATTATTATCAATGTTGAAAACATTAATATTTTTGTGGAAACTGTGATACATTTTATTTTCCAGGTTCTAAAGACAGCATTTATTTGAAATAGAAATCTTTTGAAACATTATAAATGTCTTTACTGTCACTTTTGATCAATTTAATGCAGCCTTAATAAATAAAACCAATGTTATTTTTGTATCATTAAGATATTATTATAGTTTTAAATAATACTTTATGCTCAATAAAAATTCATTTTTTTTATATTTTGTGTTTTTATTTTAATTTCAGTTAAAGTTTTAGTAATTTTGCTGTTAATTTTTATTTCAGTTTTAGTTATTTTAGTACATCAAGTTAAATTAAATTAATATTTAAGTTTTCATATTTTAGACAGTAGTTTTCAATTTTATTTTAGTTTGTTTAGTATATTTCAGTTGAAGTTTATTTCATTTCGAGTAAGTTTTCTTTTTTATTTCAAGTATTGCAAATGTTTGTTTTAATTGTTTTTATGATAGCTGAAATACATTTTTTTTATCAATTTAATGCAGCCTTAATAAATAAAAGCAATGTTATTTTTGTATCATTGAGATATTATTATAGTTTTAAATAATATTTTGTGCTCAATAATAATTAATTTTTATATTTTCTGTTTTTATTTTAATTTTAAAGTTTTAGTAATTTTGTTGTTAATTTTGTATTAATTTTTATTCCAGTTTTAGTTATTTTAGGTCATCAAATTAAATAAATATTTAAGCTTTCATATTTTACATAGTAGTTTTCAATTTTATTTTAGTTTGTTTAGTATATTTCAGTTGAAGTTTATTTCATTTCGAGTAAGTTTTTAAAAAAATAAAATAAAATACGTTTTTTTTATATTTATTCAGTTAAAGTTTATTTTATTTCAAGTAATGCAAATGTTTGTTTTAATGGTTTTTATGATAGCTGAAATAAAATAAGTTTTTAAAAGATTTTATTTAGCATATTTTAGATAGTTTATTTTTAATGCAAGAAATGAAATTTCTTTTTTTTTTTTAATGATTTTTAGCTTTTGTTTACTAGAATAACCCTGAATAAAAGTAAACATTTCCTAAAAATAAAAAATAAAAATCTTACTGACCCCAAACGTTTGAACGATATATATCTTCTAAAAGTGTATTTTTGTACTCTTTAGTGGTACTCAAGGATATACATGAGCTCAAAGTAACAGATGTGAGTTAAAGGGACTCCTGTATGCGGTCTCTAAAGCTCAGCTGAGCAGAGCAAAGCAACAGACATGACAAAAGCTCAGAGGAACGCAGAGCTTTACCTGGATAGTAGGAGTTTGGCACGGCGGTGCTCAGTGTGTTAGTCTTCAGGGTAAAGGACGACGGCGAGGAGACAGCTTTCAGAAGAAGAAAGCAGGCAAGATGTGATGAATACATCTGAATTCTTAAAACACTGACAAACATTTCAATGTGACTTACACTCAAACATGTCACTATACAATAAATGAGCTTTATTTGTATTTTGATGTTGTTAACCATGTTGTTAAAGTTATATGAACAGCATGTGTGTTTCTTCTCTGCACCAGCATTATTTTAGCATACTACACTCTAAAAATTGCTGGGTTTGTCCCTATTTTACCCAGCACTGGGTTGTATTTAACCCAGCATTTTTTAGAGTGTACTGATGTATACTTATATCAAAGTTCTTTTTGTTAATATTTTGAATCAGATATTATTTTTATATTTTCAGTTTTTTCTTTTTTGTAATTTTGTTGTTTTGCCATTTTTATTGCATTTTTATGTTTCAGTTTTAGATGATTTAATTCGAGTTATTTTAGTATACTATTGATATACTATTAAATTGTTTGTTAATTTTTTTGAATTTTCTGTTTTCATGTTAATTTTAGTTAGTTTTAGTAATTTTGTTGTATGTTTTTGTCTTTTTTTTTTTAAATGTCTAAATAGCTTTTAAGTTTTATTTTTCAGTTTTAGATTTAGTTTTAGTTGTTCTAGTATACTACTGATATATGTTTAAAGTTTTAGTTAATATTTTATGTTCTTTTAATTAAAATTTTAGTAAAAAAAATTAGTAATTTTACTGTACATTTTTCTCTTTTTTTTAATATATCTACATAGTTTTTATTAAGTTTTAGTTGTAGATTATTTAGTTTTAGTTATTTTAGTATACTGTTAATATACTATAAAACCTTTAACTAGATTTTATTTTTATATTTTTTGTAAAATATTATTATTGTCTATATAGTGTTTAGTTTTAGTTTATTTAGCTTTGGTTATTTTAGTTTCTGAGTACTGATACACTTTTAAAATGTGTAAATATTTTGAAGTAGATTTTATTTCTTTTTTACGTTTATTTATTATTTTTTTAATTTTAATTTTAGTCAAAGTTTTAGTAATTTTGTAGTATATTTTTATAATTTTTTAAAGTATCTATATAGTTTTTATTTACTGAGTTGAAACTTTTTATTTGAGTTATTCTAGTACTTTAACTTAAACTAATGAAAAGGTGAGCATTCGCTGTGAGCAGGACGGCCGAGAGACTGACTGTAAATCATGACTCAATCAATCATAATAACGACTCATTTGAGCCCTATCAATCTGGTGATCTGGAAAATGTGGATGGAATTTACTTTTGATTTAATTTGGCAAAATTTGGATGAATAAAGCAAAAGTAGGGATGAACACTTCATAGATTCGCGATACAGACTACGGTCTGTGAATATTATGATAGAAATATATTACTACTGTACATTATAAATGTGCTTCTTGAAATAATAATAAGAATAGTACAGTTTACTAATCATTATTTTTTTATGGAATATCACACAATTTTTCATCTATTTTTTTATTTAAATAGTAAGTCTCTGTTGTGCAGCATTTTGTTAGCAAAATAAAATAAATATTACATTTTAAAATATTAATGAAATTGTTAAAGTTTTATGCATTCATGTGATTACCACCATTTCTGATAATAAATCTGTATTACATCATAAAACACAGAAACTAAATAAATGAATGAATAAATATATAAAAACCACACAGAATAAAAAAAAATAATAAAACAATTTCATATACAGTAGGTCATTATTAAAATGTAATACATTCCTAAACTGTTAAAGTTTTTGTAATTATTAAAATTGTAATAAATTTTTTAATTGTTATAGTCTTCTGAATTTAAATGATTACATTACAAAAATTCAATTAAACCATTAAAATGGAATCCAGAAATCATTCATAAATAAATAAATATCATAGGACACTATTATTGTTTAAAAAAAATTATGAATTTTTTAAATGGTTAAAGTTTTATGAATTCAATTTAAATAATTAAACCATTAAAATGGAACCTAAAAATTTAAAACAGAAAACACAATATTTCTGAAAAAATGAAACATTTCACGAGGAACTATTATTGTTAAAATATTTATGAATTTTTAAATTGTTAAATTTTCATAAATTCAATTGATTAGACATCCTTTTATTTATTAGTAAAATTTAATTAAACCATTAAAATGGAATAAATAAAAAATAAATAGGACAATATTTGGCTGAGATACAGCTATTTGAAAATCTGGAATATGGAATATGGAAAAATATTGAGAAAATCATCTTTAAAGTTGTCCAAATGAAGTTCTTAGCAATGCATATTACTAATCAAAAATTAAGTTTTGATATATTTATGGTAGGAAATTTACAAAATATCTTCCTGGAACATGATCTTTACTTAATATCCTAATGATTTTTGGCATAAAAGAGAAATTGATAATTTTGACCCATACAATGTATTGTTGGCTATTGCTACAAATACTGCTTTAGTGCTCCAGGGTCACATATTAGACGCATTAAATCATTTTAGGATACTTTTATTGACATGTCTGGAGTTTGCTCAGTATAGAAGAGAGCTCCAGACTCTTCAGTGGTCTTCAGTGTTTGCACAGACGAGGGTTTGTATGGTCTTTGGTGGACTGTGGTGTGATGCTCAGAGACTCACTGCGTCCGTTGAGGTTGTGTGTGTCCATGAATGAAATGGCCTCGTCGCAGCTGGTGCCCTGCTCAGCGTAGCTCTTGTCCATGGAGTTCACCATCACCGTCATCTCCTGCCTCGTGCTGCTCAGCGTCTCCTTACGCTTCTTCGCCAGTTTCCTTCAGCAAAACACACACAGAGCACATTTCAGACCCAAGTCTCAGTCGCTCTTTAAAGTCTGTGTTACTTCGAGAAGTAGACAGTTGCTTCTCTGTGGAGGAGCACGAGTCATGAGAGACTGTGTGGAGAAACTGGATGCATCTGTGTAGAAATCAAGCATGCTGCACACCGACGCATGTCACAGTATTTATCTTACGGCTGCATGATTTGGGGGTAAAAAAAACACATTGGAATTGTTCTGTAAAAAAACTGCACAATTTAGCCAAACATTTTGTGAGTGTACATCTAACTAATTACTGGTATTATAATAAAACATTAAAAAGAATAAGAAATATTACTATTGTAATATTTCACTATAAAATAAAAGAGCATTTACGGGAACAAAAGAAAATAGTTTTTTACAATTTACAGAAAAACTGTAAAAAAAAAAAAAATTACAGCTGGACAATTTAGCCATTTTTTGTGATTTTATAACAATATAACTAAATATTTTCATTATTAATATTAATCAATACAAATACAAAAACAAAAAATATTACTATTGTAAGATTTCATTATGTATAATAAAATGTATAATTATTAAAAAAAAATCTAATATTTCTGAAAAATAGCAATGATAATAATTTTACTTTACAGAAAATAGTAAAAAAAAAAATCCAGCTTCACAATATAGCAAAACTTTTTTTTGTGATTTTATACCAATAAAACAAATTACTTTTATTATTATTATTATTTTTATCAACAATAATATTACTAAATAAAAACAGCAAACAAAATAAGAAATATCACTGTTGTAATTTCATTGTTATATTTCATTATAAAATAAAAAAGACAAATATAAGATTTTTTACAAAAAATTGTAAAAATAAAAATACAGCAGCACAATTTAGCCAAAACTTTTGTGATTTTATATCAATATGACTAACTACTTTCATCATCATCATTATTATTATTAGTATTATTATTACAAAATAAAAATAGTAAACAAAATAAGAAGTTGCTATTGTAACATTTCACTAAAAATGAAAACAATTACAGTAAAATTACAATACTACTACAAATATTACAAATAATATTTATGGCTGTTGTCATTTCCTAATTTTTTCAAATGTTAAATCCCGTAAAAGCACACAGTGTCACGCTTCATTCTAAAACATGCATTGCATAAAGTTATTTCATTAAATCACAGCCTTTGAGATTTGACAGTCACACTGAGCCATAACGCAATTTCAGTTTTATTTTGGTTTTAATTCAGTTTTAGATTTAATCGTAAGCCCTGGTTTATTCCTCTTCATCAAATGAAGTGAATAAGACAGCTGTTTAAAAGCGCCCAGCGTGGACTGTGTTTCTGACATGAATTCAGCGGCTCATTTTCATGGCGTTAAACAGCAGACGGCAGCAGCAGCAGCGCTCAGAGACGCTCACTAATGCACACTCCCGAGAGCGTCTGTCGCGCCGAACAGAACCGACTGATGGCCTCGGGCTTCAGGACAGACTGAGATCCGCTGCAGCGGCTCAAACACTCGTCTCGCTTTCCTCAGCTTTCATTAAGAGCGGCTTTGGTGATGATGACATTCAGTCAGGGGAGGCTGATGCAATGTTAGTTTGTATTTGGGCTAACACTGCTCAGGTAACACTGAAAACACTCTCTACTTAATCATACATTATATAAATATATATGTGTATGTGTGTATGTACAGATACAAGCTGCAGATACACTGCTGACACTGTAGCTCTGCTGAGACACTTAATGCGCAATACAAGGAACCAAAACCAATGCTATAAATATATATATATATATATATATATATATATATATATGTAAGGGATAATCAACGGTTCGCTGTGCATTAAAGGATTTTAAATGCACGACGTGGAGGCAAATATGCAGAAGATGCTGGAAAACTGAAGTTTTCTGAGGAACAGAGCTCAGTTTAACTGTTCAGAACAAACAAGGGACTCATGAACAACCATCACTAAACAGAAAACAGTCGTGGATCATCCAGGTAACAAACACAGTATGAAGAACCATAGTCAGGTTCACAAACTTTTGAAGGGGGTTATTTTAATAATTTCAGCTATTTTTTTTTCTCTTGTGGACTATATGTAAACATTTTATGTAAATATCTTACTCAGGACAGTACTAAATAAACAATAACATGCATTTTGTATGACCTCTCTTATTTTGTTAAAATTATTCACATTTTAACAGATTCTGCAAGGGGTTATATATAGCATTTTTATTGATAATGATCATTTCATGTTATTTATTTAAGAATAAAAATACAGATCTACATACATATAAATACAGATTGATATATTTATAAAACAACTATTATTATTATAATAATATTACAACTGTTAACATATAAACATTTAAATTGATATACCGTATATAATGAAATCATCATTATTATTAATTGATATTACAATTCATTGATTTTGCATTCTTAATTATATATATATACATTTAAAATTACACAAAAAAATGTTTATTACACTTTTTTTTAAAACATCCTGTATATATGTGTGTGTGTGTGAGTGTGTGAGAGTGTGTGTCTGTGTGTGTGTGTGTGTGTGAGTGTGTG